TAGGTGGACCAGAGGATGAAGCTATGCGTATTTCAACTCAATGTTAGGGTTATACTTGAAAGAACAACTATAGAGTGTGTGTGCAGAATAGAGTAAGTTGCACCCCACTGAGGGTTGGTGTGAACAAAGGGCACCATGAACCTGATGCCTTTTCCCTTTCTATACTCCAGGTTCTTTTCTAGGGAGAAAGAAAAGTGGAATTAGTAATGTGGGGTTGTGTCTTAATTTATTCACACCGTTGATAGGAAAAGCCAAATGCCACCTGACACAGAAGACATAAAGTTGAGGGAAATGAATTCATCAGGGACTTAAAGTGACAGCATGGGGATGGGAATGGGCACGGGAAGAACACTGTACATGTACAGGGCCACACACTGACCACACTTCAGAATCTAATGAATAGCAGAGTAACGGAATGCATTTATATATATATATATGCAGGTGCCATTGTAGAGGAATGGATGTGATTGATTTGCTTGAGCAATTATGCAAGCAGGCAGAGAATGGAAACCTGCTTTTGCAGGGTTTCCAAAAAGCTGCATTCAGTCCTTTTGATAAGGACATGTGTCTGACTCAGAAACTATCTATAGCAACGGTAGTAAGGGAGGAAACTTGTTGCTGGGCCACTTGCAAAATGTGATATCAGATATTCAGCCTTAAATTTTGGCCTAGTGCCACAATTAATGTCTGATGTCAGTTTAAAGTGGGTTGTTTTGTTTTGCTTTTGTTTTTGTTTGCTTGCTTGCTTGGTTGGTTTTGTTTCATTGTGTTTTGAGCTAAGTTTGTACTGTGTTGCCCTGGATGTTCTGGAACTTACTATATGGAACAGGAAAGAGTCAAACTTGCTGCGATCCTGCTGCATGTGCCTCCTGGGTTATGGGACTATGACATGCACTACTGTACCTAGTGGAGAAGAGTTTATAACTAGATGATAGCCAACGCCTTTAAGGTTGAACAAAAGCCTCCACCTGACAAAGAAAGGACTCAGCATTTTGAGATGACAATCAAAAACCATGAAATTTACTACACATCCTCTTGTCCAGCTCATAATGGCAACTTAGGGACCTATGTGATGCAGATATAGAACTCATTATCTCCTGACACTAGTCAATCCTTGTGATGAGAATGATACTTGGCAGGGGTTGGAGGTATCACTTTTTCATTTGTGTTTTAAATAGGGATCTTTTGGAGAGATCATTAGGTTTCTTCTTCACACTGGCTCTCTTCCAGGCCCAGTCATCTCTCAGTCTTTATATGAGGCTGAATTCTCACTACCTGTCTTCTTCAAGCTCTTAAGCCTGACTATCCCAAGTCACATGATTTTTTAGGTTGCTATTGCTGTCTAGGACTCCTAGTCACAGGAGTATCCTGTTGAGGCCTAAGCTGTGGTGTAAAACTACTAGGAGAAATATGTTAACCTGATTCATGCCTTGAGTATCTGTAAGACAAGAAATCCCCCAATGCTTTTCGCTTAAAGGAGAAACTCTTGGTATAATGGTTTACAAGTTTGCAAAAGCATTTACATGGGGTCAATGGCCAGGTCATCCAGTGCTAAGGTAAATGCGGGCTGTGTGCCCCGTGGCTCTATCCTTTGTTAGAAATGTTTTGGCTAGAAAAAAAGAAACTCTCCATGAAGATCCAGTATGTATAATCGAAATATTACTACTGCACTCACCCAGCTCTTCAAAAGAAATTTGTTATGTTGCCAAGAGCAATGAGAAATGGGTGAACAAACATTCATGGTGAAACCACGAACATCACAGTATCTGGCAAAGGTGGATGGAAAAATAAAGAGAGAAAGAGAGAGAGAGCTATCACTCCTCCTGGGAAGAGAATTTGTCAAAATGCTCAGATGTGATTTCATTCTCTATCTAGGATCCAAGTAGATATGCCAAGCTAACGTAGTACTTGAACTTCAGTGACCCAGGGCAAGTGGGTACTGGATGCTTTTGAGAGCACACCCAAGGGCTCTGAGGAACTATTCCAAGACTCTACACTAATTTCACTCTCAGTGTGTCTACTGGAATATAGTACAAGGTCAGAAAAGGCATGTTGTTTTTTTCCACTAGAATTCCAAGAGCAATTTTTAACCATCATAGGCAACCTAGAGACTGGCAGTATGAGATGAAGTGGTCAGTGACTCTGTAGGTACTTAATGGGGTAGGCAATATGCACAGATTATCCAGTTTTGGTCTTGGAAGAATTCCTTTCAACACAGACCAGTTTTTGGTAATATTAATATTTCTAAATTGAGTATGTTGGCTCCACACCTTAAAGAAGAATGATATATTTTATCTTATTTACTTTTTTATTGCTGTGATGAAGCACATGGCCAACACAACTTATAAAAGAAAGCATTTAATTGGTCTTATGATTCTAGAGGTTTCGAGTCCATGATGGCAAGTAATGGACATGGCCATCAGGAACTGCTGAGAGCTCACATCTTGGTCTCAAAACAGAAAGCAGAGCGTGCACACTGAGTGTGCACTGAGTGTGTCTGCAGCAAGCATTTTGAGTTTCAAAACCCAACTCCACTGGACAACCTCTTCCAACAAGGCCACACCTCCTAATCCTTCTCAAACAGTTCTACCAACTAGGGACCAAGTGTTCAAACATAAGAACATATGGGGGCCATTATTGTTCAAACCATCACAGATGTTGAACTTGTATTCATCTTGTGGTTGTTGAGGATGTCAGTAATCTATTCCTCAACAGTGTCAGGAATGGCATGGCATATGGGTTAACAAGTGACTTTCAAGTATTTAATAATAAATATAATATAATAAAATAAATAAAAACATAATTACATATATATATAATTTTTGTAAGCACTGGCTTATAGGGAATGTGTGTAGTGGCATTGCTGCTTCTGGATCTCAAGTAGCCCAGCGTAGGTAAAAGCAACTGTGACCAAGAAACTGTTGAAACATGTGGCAAATCCATCATATTAGTAAGAGGAATAGTAAAATATTTATAAATTGTTGATTGGATGGAGTCAGAATTTCTAATTTTTGGGTTGTTAGAGGTTTGGGCCTTTATGGAATGGGACCATATGTTAAGATACAGAAAAGCCCACTGTAGAACGTCATACCACATCCCATTCCCCAAGATTTAAGAACAGGCCAAATAAGTCCACTTGCGCTAAAATGAAGAATCTGTCAGGATAATTGCTCCTTCAGTGATCAGCTGTTATATAATAAGTTTTTATCCCACAAGACACTATTTTAAATTAAACGAGCTATATTAATTATGTTAACATGGGGTGAGGGTGGGAAAATTGGGATTTCTCATTCTGTCAGATAAATTGTGCCTAAGATTTTATTTAATTTCCATTGTTCAGAATGTTTATGCCTACCATGTGATATTTTAAGGCAGTGTGTGCTATATTATCATAGAGAGTTTGGGTAAGATGGTAGTTCTGATGACTAAGACAATATTAAGTTGTTCTCTATTTTTGTGCTTACTTATTTACCTAAATCTACAGGAAGTAATATGTTCAAATTTAGTAAGCACGTCAGATTTACCTGCTAGTGGCCAATTTTTTTGTTTGTTTATTTCAAGGTCAGGTTTTCCTATGTAGCCCTGGCTGTCCTGTAACTCGCTTTGTAGACCAGGCTGCCTCAAATTCAGAGATCTAGCTGCCTCTGCTTCCTGAGCGTTGGGATTAAAGGCATACACACCACAACCTGGCTAAACAGTTATTATTTTTTTTATTTTATGTGTATATATGTCTAGTTTGAGTATATTGGATCTCCTGGAACAGGAATTACATACAGTTTCAAGCTTCCGTGTAGATGATGGGAATTAAATAGGGACCTCTGGAACAGCAGCCAGTGCTCTTAACTGCTGAGCCATCTCTCCAGGCCCCCTTAGAACTCTTTAAAGCCACGTTGATTTACCACTTGATACATTTCAACAAACAACACTGTAAACGCTAAACCTATATTGGAGAGGCACAAAAGTAGATCAGAGTCCTTTTACGTTTGACTTACAAATTCTTTCAGTTAAGTTTTAGATTTCCAGCTAGGTCAATTTGTGCAGTTTTGTTCCAGTTTGTCTTGGTGGTTTCTCTCTCTGTATTTGGATTTTTAATCTTTATCTTTTTCAAAAAAGTTTTTTGTGGAGGTTGTGAGCAAAGGATATATTTGGCAGAGGTGGTGGGGAGGGTCCCCTTCACATTTTTCATGTATGTAAGTTTTTTCCTGAGGTGTCAGTATCTTCTAGATTATAACGTTTACAGGAAATAGCTGTAATCACGGCACTAGTTGACTTGTGCGTTTGACGACAATGGGTTTGGATTAACATCTGCACCGGGTGCCACAAGGATGTCAAGGGTGTGCCCTGCAGGACGCGCTGGATGTTTTCCTTCAACCCCGTGGATGTGGACCTTTGTGGCAACAGAAGCACAGTCCATGGTGTGCAGGGAAAAGGTGCTAGATCTGCATCTCAGACTTAATAAGCCGTCTCCAGCAACAGCCCTACATTTTCTATTACATGGGCAAACTCTCCTCTGTTTTCTTTTGCACGCCCTTTTTTAATGAAAACAAACAAACAAACAAACAAGCAAAACAAAACAAAACAAACAAACAAAAAACCAAACAAACAAAAACCAAAACTCTGTGGGAAAATTTTGAGTTTCTATCCAGGCAATGTTTCAGACTTGAACTTCTGTGTCTACATAACCATCTGTAGCACAGACTTTTGGTGCAGCTGTGGTGAAATGTTCAGGAACTTGTTGGCCTGCATTCTAAGTGTCTACCTCTTCTTCCAGGGAGTCCTCATTGTTTTTCTGGAATAGAAGTCCATGTCCAGCAAAGTCATCTGTCTGTTGCTTGCATGGGGTCTTGGGCTTGTGATTGCAAAATTGGTTTTTTTTTTTTGGGTGTGCTTTTAGGCAACACTGCTGAGTCCAGGACATGTTGGCAGTGGGTTTTGCATCCCAAGATTGGTTGAGTGCCAAATACTCTTTCCTCTCCCTACCCCCTTTTTGTTTTCATCAGCACCTGGGCCACAAGCCACCATGGATGGGAACCCTGATGCCCTTGTGGGTCAAAAGAACACAAGCGACAGCAGCAAGGGAGGCAACAGCCCGGGAGCCCAGCAAGGTCACTACCCTGCATGAACAACTACTGGAATGCCACACTTAATTCTCTGCAGGATGGTGGGCTCCTTCCTTTTCATAGACCATATGAAGGGTTGGCCCTTGGCCTGTCCCTTGTATGTACAACTACAAACAATATATCTATATTGTAACCTTGAGCAACCCATGGCAGTTATGAGGGATAGACACAGTGACCAGAGAACCTGAAGCTTAGTATGCATGGCTGAAGTTCTACTTGGTCAAGGCACTGCCCTTCTCACTGCCCTTAGAAGAAGAAGCTTCTGGACCACCTATCAAAGAAACTTAACCAGATACCACGTGACATCAGGGTATGATTAACAATATTCATCTTGGAGACACGGGTTTAAAAGTACAGAAAGAGACAGTGATGGTTGGCAGAGACAACACGCTGTCATATGGTCAACAGCTCAGAGTTCTCAGAAATAAGAGGTTCTGTTTCAGCTTTTGACATTTCTCAGAACCAGTTAGCTAACAGCAATTACTTTATACTGTCTAGATATTCTTCAGATATCGATGTTTGGAAGGCTATGTAGTTTGTAACGCCAGTAGTTCATATTCCTTCCTATCCACCCTATTGGTGAGGCAGAGAACCCCTTTCTGGAGACCTGGCAGTAGTCTCTGGACATATGAGATCCACATAAGTTTGGGATCACACATGGCCACAGTACAAGACCGAGAACACTGCAGGTCATTCAAAGACTTGGTGAATGACCAAGAACTGTGAACAGTAATGAGAGGATGCTGTCCATGTGTTTGCAAAAAGGATAGTGTTTGCCTTGTGCTAACTAGGAGCTAAAGTCTGTTTCCTAGGGATAAGCAGGAATGGTGCCTGCTCCCTGCAGCAAGAATGGTTTAACTAGGATTTCACTGTGGAAGCAGAATAGAAACAAACAAACAAAAAATGCCATTAAGTAAACAAGGCCCTCACCATTTACCAGAGGTTGGGCAGCACACACATAAAAATAGCACACCTTAATTTTAGTGCTATAAGCTACATGAAGGAATGAATCCTGTAGAAGGTCATGAATTATCTGAAAATGTGCATAGAGAAGACATTTTAATGGCAAAGTGAATGGTATTGTTTTGAGTTAAAGACTATGAAGGAAAATGAAGACCTGTGGTTTAAAATAAGTACTGTTAAAGAATAATGCATTTACATAATTGAACATCTGTCTATGTGCAAATGTGTGGCCAAATGAAAGGAAAACTTTGCTAGTGTTTGGATGGATGTGACCGAATTGAAAGCCAGAACTAGCTTTTTTAGAATTATGGATTACTTAATAACCAAATAAGCAAACCCCAAATACAATAACCAAGAGAAACAAGTGCATGATATTTTTAATGTTATTTATTTTTATTTTTTAAAATAAAACATTTAAAAACTCTTTTAAGTGATAGCTATGTTGGCAAATAAGCATGATTTTTTTTCATAAGCACAGAAGAATGAAAGATTACAAAGATCAAGGTGAGTATTAAATGGTGCCTCTTTCCCTCTCTCTCCCTCTTTCCTTCTTTCCTTCCTTCCTTCTTTCTTCCTTCCTTCCTTCCTTTCTTTCTTTCTTTCTTTCTTTCTTTCTTTCTTTCTTTCTTTCTTTCTTTCTTTCTTTCTTTCTTTCTTCTTTCTCTGTATGTGTGTGTCTCTCTCTCCCAACTCTTAAACTTGTTTATTCTATTCTTATTTCAAATCTAAGAACCAGGATTAATGATTGTTGCTCCAATGCATGTCTGAGCTCAATGACAGAGAAAAAAACTAATGTTGTAAGTCAAAGACAGGCAGAGAGATCAAGTTCTCTCTTTCTCCATCTTTAGTAGGTTGGATGAAGCCTTCCCTTCCTGAGAAAGCTAATGTGCTTTACTCAGTCCATTGTGATACATCAGACTCTTCCACAACCTTTCTCCCAGCCATATCCAGGCTAATGATTTGCATCATGAGAACACCTAGTAGCCTAGTTAATCTATCATATGAAATTAGTCACGGCAATTGTCAAACATCTTAACTGCCAACATAGAGTGGAGTGAGATGATATTGTGAGGTGCTTGGTCAAGTTCAACTTGGAAGAATCATACCCATCAGAAGGAGGGTAAAAATAGATATTTTTTAATGTACAGATATCAGTAGACTCCATAAACTTTTAAAGTTTATGCTGTAAGGGAAAAGATGAACTATTTCAGGGGCTAAAACATACAATAAACAATTTTATGAAAATTACCATGTTTTTATGGATATAAATGATCTCTTCATAAAAAACCTAGATATACATATTATATATTTAGATTATAATGTCAAGTTATAAGCAGTCTGATTTTATGTAGTTGAACTACATGTGTGTGATTAGAAAAATTCTCACAAGCTTTGAATTGTTGAATAATGTGTAGGTATACACAATGCAGTTCATTCAACTTGTCTTAATGATAGTATTTATAATGTAAAAATCTACTAGACAAAAACTGTATTTGACACTATTTATAGCATACTCATTGAATTTTTACATGAATATTATAGGCAGTATTTGCTGTTCACATACTATTTTCTAATAAGCCACCAATTTTGATAGTTTAAGCCTTTAGTTTTGCTCTAATATAAGTATGAAGCTATTTTTGGAAATGGTAGGATTTATGGTAGCTTATTGAAAAAAAACTTTTCTTTCTAATAGCCTTGTAATGGCTCTCAGTGACATCAGTCTCTATTTCCAGAGAATACATCTCATACTCATCTTTCTTATGTGACTGGAAGGTTTTCATGGCTCCCCAGTGCCCAATGGAAAAGATTCATGAATGCATTTTAATGTAACTTGTTTCTTTGTAATATGTAGTGAATTAGCTTAATTATAGTTATAAGGATGCCAAGCTCATTATTAACAATCTGTTTGCTAGGCTTTTCCGTCTTTAATGGAGACTTACCTTTTACACATGGGTGTTGCTACTGTGTATATTACAATTTTTAGTCTCCTTGTCATTGTTTCCTCACAATCTGGCCCTGAGCAAAGCACTCTGTAGATGACCAGGAAGACAGGGAAGAAGAAGACAAGCTGTGGTAGTAATTGCTCCCGGAGGGATGAATGAAGGAATTGGGAGGTGGGGTGGATGGATTCTGGTCTTTCCTCTGTCACTTGTCAGAATATCACTTGATACTTTCTTTAAAATGGGCTTAGTGTTAATGATACTACATTAACACAGGATCACACAGGAAAAATTTCATTCACTAAAATGTTTTCTTCTTTTATTCTGAAAACAAAAAAAGTGGAGAATTGAGGGTGCAATGGAAATTATATTCGTTTACAGAGGGAGTCAGAGACATTCTAAGGAATTTTTCATTAAATGGAGAAAATAACATACATTACTAGAAAATTAAAATTATATATATATAAAATACCTACATGTCAGTTTATTTATCCAGATCACTACCTACATGTCAGTTTATTTATCCAGATCACTTTTATGAACAATTTCAATCTTTAGTCATGTCTCTTACCCTTGCACTTGGTTTGGGGATGTATCTATTTAAATTAGAATATATGTTAGAAGCTATCAAGTGTTGAGTAAGCACGGGGATCAAGAATTGGGGGGAAATGATCACATTGTGACTGCGAGCTTTCTTTGTCCTACTTTGTAACTGTAACATTACTCGGACTAAATATCTTTCGAGCATCATGAAACAATTGTGTTCCAGGATATTTGATCACATTGTGAACCCCAAGATTGTGTCCTAGAAAAACATGTCTCTAGTTGCGGTATGGCTCTGCCCTAGCACACACCTTTAATCCAAGAATTTTCTGCAGAATTAAATAGGTCAAGACAAGGAGCAAGCAACCAGGTGACAGGAAGGGAACGTATGAAAAAAAACATAGAGAGTGAGAGGAAGTCTGGAGGACAGATAGACACACACACAGGAAGTAGAAGGGCGGGACTTTCAGTCTGAGCAGTTGTTGGGAAAATGGCAGAGTGCAAGAAAGGGCTTACTCCTTCTGGGGCATCGGCTGAGTAGGAAGGTAGCTGGGTGCTTTCTCTGCCCTTCTAAGCTTGTAGGCTTTCACCCCAGCATCTGGTTCCTGAGTCTTATTGGTAAAATTGAACATTTGGGATTTTGTTTAAAAACAACACAATTGGAGATTTGGACCCACTTTAACTTATGAAGACAACGTTAAAACAGTTTACTGCTGAAAGAATATTTAAAACAAACAAACAAACAAACAAACAAAAAACTCCTTTAGGGAGAGACTCCCTCATTGGGAGGGATTAAGAAAGTGTGGTTTTCTGTGAAAAAAGAATTTTCTGGTTCAGATGTTGTAGAAGGTAGCCAAGATGGAAGTGGTGTGTGTATGAGAGTGCCGGACATATAAATTTTTGGTGTGACTTTTATTGAACACCAACTCAACAGGAATGTCTCAGAGTTAACTGTTGAGTCTTTACAGCCCATGTCATAGGCTGTCCCTAGAGATTTACCCACAGAGCGGCTTAAGAAGACCACTGGTGTCCATAATAATATTCTATCATGGCCTTGATAAATGAATATAAGTGATAGCTAAACACATTTTATTTATGTAGTTACTAACCAGGAACACTTAGAGCCTTTGGTTGCTCCAGTCCAAGACAATAAAATAGCTTATATTAATCCTACTTTATTATTAATAGTAGTAATTTAGTCAGCAGAGAACGCCAAAGTTTTGGGAGAAATCAAATGCCTAGGGAAAAAAATTCAGGATTCAGTTTCAGGAATATATGCTTCTGATAATCAGACTTTTAATTTCTCTATGTGGGCTACTTAAATAAAAGGACCATTTCTGAGGCAGGTATGACAATGCACTTCACTAACGTGTAGTTAAGAACTCATGTCAGTGTTCAAAAGTGTGTGTTGAAGTCCTCATTGGAAATGGTTTTCTGTCAAATAGAAACAAATCCGAGTTACTTATGGAGGCTGTGAATAAGACCCTTTTAGTGGAAAGAGGTGGGTGACCAAATGGAAGACAGGATGTTTAAATCAGA